CGGGGGACCGTCGACACGTTGCTGGGCGGGCCTGGGGCCGGTGCCAGGCCGCAGGACCAACGACCTCATCTATGGGGACGAGTTTGGGGACATTTCGGCCTGGGGGACCTGATAGCTCACAAGACTCTTGGGCATGCCACGTCCGCTGATGTCGACGCGGGGCGATCCACGCACTGGGAGCAGGAGGCCAACGATGCCGTGGACCGCTTTGCTAAACTCGGAGCCCACATGCACACGGGCATCACGGGCAGGGAGGTGCACTTGTGGAAGGGCTTTGAGGAGCTGGCCCGCGAGAGTGCCCGCTGGTTCGGCGAGCTGCAGGGCGTCATGGTGGACAACGGCATGAAGGACTACGAGGACGTGCTGGGCCCTGCCAGTTCCCCACCAGCGCTCCCTGCAGGAGGGGCCATCAGTGGAGCTGCGGGTGAGGATGCGCCGCCCGCCACCCTGGCCGCTGCCGCTGACGCTTCCGAGACGACAGTCGGCGGCCAGAACGACGCAGTTGAATGCCTGCGCCTGGGCAGCCAGAGAGGGCCTGAACTTGAATTCGTTTGGGACGGATCGTGGGGCCAATACTGTGGAGTAGCTCTGCGTCTCGGTGGGCATGCACTTTTATGTTCCCACATAGTTGAGCGCCCTGCCGAGACTATCACGTTTTGTTTTCGATGCGGAGGTTTTTTCTCCGCTTTTAAGCCCAGCGCTAAGATGTTGGGGCCGTGCCGCGGGGCTCAGGCAGGGCCGCACTATCGTGAGCAGTTGCGCCGCCTTACTCAGGGCAGTTTCCCTAGCATCAGGGCTCGCACCAAGGGTTTGCACATAGGGCCCCCTGTTGGAATCGGCAGGGCTACGGCCAGCAAGCTACGTAGCACTTGGGAGCCGCAGCGGGCTGAACCACCGAAAGATGATGTGCATGAGGCGCCTGGGGCCGATGCTGCCCCGGCGGCTCTCCCGAGCCAGACGGAGCAGCGCCAAATAGTGCTCCGCTGCTTCGGGCTTGTTGAATCTGATTTAGACTGGGTGGCAGAGTTTGGGCGAATCTCCACTGAGAGAGGCCGCAAAGCTGACAGTGACGGTGATTCTTGGGAGGATGAAGCCTCCGAGCCTGATTGAGGCCTGTGTTCTTGGACTGTCCTTGAGACCACACGCAACAAACCTCCCCCGACGCAGCACTCTTGCCCTGGCCTTTGGTAAAGGCCTGGAGACGTTCACGTACATGCTGGAACTGCTGCTGCTGTTCGGGAAGAGGGCCTGGCTCCGCTGCTGGAGATCCCGAGCTGGCCGCCGGTGCCGCGGCTGGGGCAGCGCTGTCGCCGCCTGCTGCCGCCGCTGGGCCACCTTCAGGAGCGTCATCCACACGCCACTTTTTCTGAGCCAATCTGACCTTCTGGGATTCATGTTCCTCAATCGCCTTTTGGACGTCTGCAATTGCTCCTGCGAGTAGCAGTCGGGCCGTTTCCGCCAGCCTCTGCTGCAATTCCTTGGCCCTGGTCTGAACCTCCTCTCGCTCCTCGGCCGTGTAGTCCACACCCTCGGGAAGCTGGTCCAACATGCCCAAATCGAACTGCAGCGCGTCGGCCTTTCCTGCAGCAAGGTCCTCCAGTCGCACTGTGGGAATGCCAGCCGTCGACGGTGGAGACTCTGCCTGCTTGGAGCGGTCAGCCAATCTCGCCGCCAGGACGCGATGCTGCGCGTCCTTTGCGCTGCGCTCCTCTCGCAGTGAGGCGATGTATTCCTCTTGCTCCTTCATTTGTCGTTGCCACTTTTCATACTGGGAGGAGGCGGAGGAGGAGGAGGAGGAGGAGGAGGACGACGACGACGAGGAGGAGGAACAGGTGCAGGGGGAGGAGAGGAGGAGGGGGAGCGGGAGGG